GGAATGTTTGCACCACAGTGGGGTGCTGGCCTTGCTTTAGTTTAATTAGGCTTTTGTGTGTGTTTTCTCCTTAGCTGCTCTATTCTCCCATTGAGAACATCCAGAGAGTGGCTGCAGGGGTCCTCTGTGAACTTGCTCAGGACAAGGAGGCTGCAGAAGCCATCGAAGCAGAGGGAGCCACCGCTCCCCTGACAGAGTTACTGCACTCGCGGAACGAAGGTGTGGGTAAGTAGAAGGGGACCAGGACCCGTAGCTGGACCTGCAGTGAAGCCTCACGTTTTCCTAAGGGTCTTTTTTTCTGGCTTCTCCCAGCAACATATGCAGCTGCTGTTTTGTTCCGAATGTCTGAGGACAAGCCCCAGGATTATAAGAAAAGGCTTTCCGTTGAGCTGACCAGTTCTCTCTTCCGAACGGAGCCAATGGCTTGGAACGAGGTAGGGAGCGTGAGCGAGTCCATTTGGTAGTTTGCTAGAGCAGGTAGGGCGGCTTGTGGCTTCCCATCAGAACGCTGGGTGTGCTTTCTTTTGTGCTACTTGTCCTTGGCTCCAACAGTCACATGTGCTGTGTGAGCACCAGCCGCGGGGGAGAGCTACAGCTCGGAAGGCCTGCTCAGAACGAACCAACTGCTTGTACGTGGAATTCATTAGGGAGGGAGATGAGCAGTTGTCAGAATAAAGAATATTTTTCAAAAGGGTGTAAGGAAAGAGGCAATCTGATTAAACATTGTTAGTTGGAGGTCATTTTATCAATACTTCTTTTTAATGCTTAGTTTCCCTCTACTTTTGTACTTGAATTTCTATAAATTTCAGTATTTGTCCTTAGCACAGTTATTCATTGAAACAGCAGAACTGTCAACTATGGTACATAGTAATATATTTATTGGATGAATGGAAAGAAATTCTATATATTGTTTGTTGAAAAAAATTGCCAGTGTTAGTTGGGTTTTAGTAGGCAGTCTTGACATGTCCAGCTTGAGCTCTGAACTCTCCCACCCGCCTCCTCCCCGAAGCTGCTCCTGTCACGTTTTCTCCATCTCGGTCACTGCGGCTCCTGCACAGGCTGAAAATCCTCTTCCGTGTACATGTCCTGTTGGGGGACACGCTTTGCCCGTTTTGCTTACTGTTGTATCTCTAGCACCTGTGTGCCTGGCACATAGTAAGGACGTTTATATTTGCTAGAAGGATGAATTAGTGAATTTAAAGCCCTGTGTGCGATGAGAAACATGCTACTCTAAGTAGCAGTGGTTAATCTTGAGGAGAGGTGTTTGAAGTACCTGTATCGTATACTTCTGTGTTTTCTAAGTATTTCTATAATGTTTGAGAGAATGTACTTTAAGTTGAGAATTTTCATTTTGCTTCTTTGCCTTGTACCTAATTATCTAGACTGCTGATCTTGGACTTGATATCGGTGCCCAGGGAGAACCCCTTGGATATCGCCAGGATGGTATGTCTCTCATATTTCTAGATTAACTCTAGATTAAGCTGCAGCTCCAAAGCTTTATCAAAAGAGCTAGTTTGCTTATCTGGGAAGCCAGTGTTGGCAGGAAAATAGTGGCAGCAATTAAAGTCATTCTTAAGTTCCAGAGTCAGCAACTGTCTGTAATGGGGCACAGGCGATTCCAGGCCACACACTGAGCGAGCGACAGGGTCATACCAAGCACTTGCCACTGCTGCTGGGTTTCTGGTTATTCTTTTTTGGTCAGAGAAGCCAGAATACCTGGGTCTGCAACCCACCCAGGAAATGAGAGCGTGGGGTGGGTATTTACATAGTTGTATAATCCAGGTTTTCTGACAGCTAATTCAGCTCTGGGTGATGGAGATTTGGAGCATTGGGTAGACCACCAACAGCTATAACTGTTCACCTTAAAGTTATCATCTTACCTTGTTTATCCTAATAATTAAACCACTAAAGCCCATAGCTTCTTACCTTGACATGCAAGTGTCAACCCTTAACATGTAAAGGTTTCATTGGAACAGTGTCTTGCATTTTCTCAGTACTGTTGTGGGCATCGCCTGCCTTCCTCAATGGCTAGATTACATCTGCCAGACTTCCTTGTGTTGCCTTCATCTCCTGCCCATGACTTCTCGATGCCTGGGTGGTCGTGTGCAGTGGCTTACTGCTGTTCCTCTTGAGGAACTCGCTCTCTGCCTGGGTAAATGCAGACGTTCGGGGTAAACTGATGGCGTGACTAGAACCTGCATGTCTGTGTTTTGTGGAAACAGACTTTGTAGCCTCATGGGTGGCCTGGCACTGGGATAGTACTTGGCTGAAGAGAGCTAGAAGTCGAAGCAGTTAGAAAGCAGTGCTTTCTGACACGTGTGCAGTCTTTCGATGCCCTAATTTCAATGTTAACTTTTTGTCTTTCTCCTCTCCCCCCCTTGCCCATTTTGTTGCCACCCTGACTTTTAGATCCCAGCTATCGTTCTTTTCACTCCAGTGGATATGGCCAGGATGCCTTGGGTATGGACCCCATGATGGAGCATGAGATGGGTGGCCACCACCCTGGTGCTGACTATCCAGTTGATGGGCTGCCAGATCTGGGGCATGCCCAGGACCTCATGGATGGGCTGCCTCCAGGTGACAGCAATCAGCTGGCCTGGTTTGATACTGACCTGTAAATCATCCTTTAGGTAAGAAGTTAAAAAAAGCCAGTTTGGGTAAAATACTTTTACTCTGCCTACAGAACTTCAGAAAGACTTGGTTGGTAGGGTGGGAGTGGTTTAGGCCTATTTGTAAATCTGCCACAAAAAACAGATACATACATACTTTGAAATGAGACGTCTTAGAACATTTGAATGTTCTCAGATTTCTGGTTGTTGCGTGATCATGTGTGGAAGTTATTAACTTTAATGTTTTTTGCCACAGCTTTTGCAACTTAATACTCAAATGAGTAACATTTGCTGTTTTAAACATTAATAGCAGCCTTTCTCTCTTTACACAGCTGTATTGTCTGAACTTGCATTGTGATTGGCCTGTAGAGTTGCTGAGAGGGCTCGAGGGGTGGGCTGGTATCTCAGAAAGTGCCTGACACACTAACCAAGCTGAGTTTCCTATGGGAACAATTGAAGTAAACTTTTTGTTCTGGTCCTTTTTGGTCGAGGAGTAACAATACAAATGGATTTTGGGAGTGACTCAAGAAGTGAAGAATGCACAAGAATGGATCACAGGATGGCATTTATCAAACTCTAGCCTTGCTTGTTAAATTTTTTTTTTTAATATCTGTAATGGTACTGACTTTGCTTGCTTTGAAGTAGCTCTTTAATTTTTTTTTGCAGTAACTGTTAGTTTTTTAAGTCTTGTAGTGTTAAGTTATAGTGAATACTGCTACAGCAATTTCTAATTTTTAAGAATTGAGTAATGGTGTAGAACACTAATTCATAATCACTCTAATTGTATTCTGAAAAAGTGTAACATTGTGTAGCCTTTTTGTATAAAATAGACAAATAGAAATGGTCCAATTAGTTTCCTTTTTAATATGCTTAAAATAAGCAGGTGGATCTATTTCATGTTTTTGATCGAAAACTTTATTTGGGATATGTATGGGTAGGGTAAATCACTAAGAGGTGTTATTTGGAACCTTGTTTTGGACAGTTTACCAGTTGCCTTTTATCCCAAAGTTGTTGTAACCTGCTGTGATACATACAATGCTTCAAGAGAAAAGACAGTTATAAAAATGGTTCAGAATTAAACTTTTAATTCATTCGACTGTGTCACCTTTTTTTTCTTGTTAGCCCGTGGTTTTGTGAGGGTAGTAACGTATGGTCAGCCACATGCACAGTCAGCTAAGTTGTAACTGATAGAGCCTTACCTTTAGGGGGAGATGTTACCCTAGTGTCTCAGCACTTGCCCCTGGATCAATTGGCACCAAAAACCATTTCAGCCTTGAACACTGACTCTGAGCTCGGTAAGGGGGGAGTCTGCCATCTCCGATTGAAGGGCTCTGGGCTTAGACGCTATGGCCAAGACTTCAGCCTCGTCTCTTGGTGTGGTTATGTGCATCATCTTGCCCAAGTGACCAAAGGCTGCCCTGGTTCAAAGACATCTGTCTAGTCTTTGGGCTACATAGAGAAAACAGACATCCCCCCCGCCCCCAGACTTACCACAGGAAAGAATAATGATGAGCACTACCTGGATTTGGACCTCAAGCGCCTTCACATAAGTGTGACTCATTTGGAGAGGGAAATTCCTTCAACTCCACTTTGAACTGGTAATTAAGTTGGTTTAAGTATAGATGTTTATCTGAACATAATCAGAGAGACCCAGAATGGGCCTCTTCTGTGCTGTCTGCCAGGTGATCCTGTCATCCTGGTGGTAGGTCTCACAAGCTTTCCTCCCTTAGGGGAGAGTCAGGAGACCTGTTAAGACTTGTGTCTTGGTCTTTAAAAAGAGTGGGTTGGGTTAGGGAGGGCTGTTTCTGATTTACTACGGGTTGCCATTGGATAAAATTGAAACTAATGCAGGGAAAATAAACTCTACGACCAACAAACTATCAATTTTAAATAAAAACAATCTCAGTATTTTTCTTTTGCCTCAAGGTCCAGTATGGCTTAGCAGGGCCCTGTGTGGCCGCCCACACTGGAAGCCCCTGTGTCCAGTAATCACTTCATTCATACAGGACAGTGGCCACACTGCAGTAAAAAACTACAGCCTGACACGACAGTCTGGCTACATCTCAAAGATGACATTAAACCAGTCAAATGCATACTGTAGGGCTACACTGATCCAAAGGAGGGGCAGCCTGTTTACCATGAGGTCAAACTGAGAAGCAAGGGCATTCTTCCATCATGCAGACGTCAGGAGAGAGGCTCCTGGGGATGCGCTGCACTGGGCTCCCCTGCCCTGGCCACACTGCGCAGGAGATGTTCTACAGGGGCTTGGACAGGACTGACTTAATCCTTGACCGTGAAAGACCTTAAGATAAATAAGCTTTTTAATTCTTATTTTGATTACTGTAATAAAAACAGAAGATGTGAATTGTGCTGTTTGGTTTAATAAACAGAGCTGGAACAGCTAGCAACCCTGAGCTTCCTGGACGTGCCCCACAGGGACTGAGGAGCTGTGTTCGGAGTCAGTTCTCTGGGCCCAGAGACAGTGCGAGCACCCCAGCCGGAAGGTTCTGGCGTCGGCTGACTCGGGTCCAAATACAGCGGGAGGTGGCGAGTGTGTGGAGCCGACCTTCCTGCGGAGCTGAGGGTTGGTGCCGCGGGGCGGGCTGTGTTCGTGCCGTCTTGCCTAGTGGCCAACAGCTTGGAGGATTTCCAGGGCCAAGGAGGCCACCGCACTGTCAGCAGAGGAACTGGGAGGAAAACCAGAGCCGGGGTAAAGTGCCACCTCTTCGGGGCGGCTGGTATCTGACAGACAAGCTGCTTCCTAGGGCTGCCCCTCTGCAGCCTCCTGAGACGCAGAAGCCGTGTTCCCAGGCCGAGGTGAGAGCCTGTCAGTCCGCGGCCCCAGAGGGGCTGGACGTGGCCCTGCCGGTGCCCCAGTGAGGCCTGAGCTCCCCGCCCCCCGCCTCGGCCAGATGCACCCATGCCGAGCCGGAAGGCGGGTCAGAAAACAGCCAGCCTGCCCAGCCTGGCCTGGGCCCCACATGGTCCTGCCAGGGGCCCAGCGCCTGCCTGCAGCGGACATACCAAATGCCAAAGCTCCCACAGCCCCCAAACGCTGGCTCCACATTGCCAGCCAGCCAGGAGCCTTGGGTTTCTCCTCATAGGTGCCGATGTGCAATTAAGAGCTTAAAATGGAAACTTTGTTATGGAGCAAATTGAGACACATCTAAACCTGTGCTCTAACAACTTAGCAAAGAAAAGAATGACACACAGCAGTGTTCCTTGAAGTATAAACTTGGCTCGTGGCACGCTCCTGACTACACAGAAATAGAGCTGCTGCCAAATAACCAGGGATGGGGGTTGCCTAAAGGGGTCACAGTGGGACAGGCTGTGGTCAGGAGAGGGTGCCCCGCAGCGGAGGTCCTGAGGGACAGCGGGAACACAGTCCAAGCTGGTCTGGGGGAAGGCCCGGCCACGCAAAGGGCACGTCTGGCAGGCCACATCGGAGCTGGGAACAGGACACCCTTTGGTCCTCAGCAAAGCCCAAACAGGACAACCTAGCAGCAACCTCCACCCAATAAGACCTGCCTGGTGCAGACCTAGCTAGAACGTTGGGTGCAGGAGGGCACCAGCTTCGTGGAGCACTGAGCCTCGTTTTGACATATTTGGCCCAGATTTAGGCCCAGGTCTCCAAACTGGCACATCATGAGGGTGCACTGGCTTTGGCCAAAGGCAGGCAGGGGCCTGCTCGGGGAGGAGCCCCACACAGGCAGGCTGGAGAGGACGGCCCTCAGGAGCCCTCCACTGCACTCCCAGCAAGAGCACAGCCCGCCCAGCAGAGGGCCTGCAGCCCAGCCCTGCGCCCTCTGCCAGCTCCCCTGGGGGCTGAGCAGGGGAGGGGGCCTTGCCCTCGCCTCACAGGAACCATGGAGAAGAGCCTACTTTGGTTTAACCCAAAGAAAGGTGGAGGGGGATAAGCCAGGAGGTGGGGCCCCGGCCCCCACCCTCACCCAATCCAGAATTAAGTGCAAAAGGAAGGTGTGAACTCTGCCTCCGCACAGGCTCGCTCAGCAACGCCCCAGCCCCACTTCCCCAGACTCGCACCCGTCCCCAGATACCCGGCGCCCGGGGTAGAACCCCGTGGTTCTGAGAACTACCAGGAAATGCCCAGTGGAGGCCGGGTACCCTTGGGCAGTGGAGCCTTCTGCCCAGGGTGGGGACGGACAGCAGGTGGGGCTCGGGACTGGCCACCACCACCTCCGGCCATCTCCCAGCTCTGGGGACAGTGGCCTGAGGAGAGGCGACTGCAGTCCCCGAGTCACTAATGAGACCTGCCCCCGCCCCACTTGCTGGGCTCTGGGCACGCAGGGGGAGCCTGGGGCAACTTCCCCACCCACGTGCTTGGTCACTTGGCACTGACATGGAAACAAGACTATTAGCTCCACCCCCACCACCTGCCACCATCTCTCAAGTTCAGGGGTGCAGGGTGTACGTGTCATTGTGGGGTGACCCTCCAGGCAGCCCTCCACTGAGCATCAGCATGACAGGGGCCTGACAAGATGCCAGTGCCCACTTCAGAGTGTAGCACACTCCTGGGTAACAGGGCTGCCCTGGTCTGTGTACCTCAGTTCTAGAATGTTCTAGCCACACTGTAAGTGAGGACTGGGAGGTTGAGCTAAACTCACACTCGGGTTCTGGGTGTCAAACAGCTCTGTAGGTCCCAAGTTTCCCTCTAAAGCTCTGGCCAAGGACAGCAGCCTGGCGCTGCAGGGCGGCCGAGCTGCCCACTGACCGCAGCCCTTCCTGGGCTCCAGGCCCTCTGCCGGGGCTACTACGCGCATGTGTGCACGACGGGGCTGCCTCTCCTGAGGTTCATCACATCTCCCACCTGGCGTCCCCTCCCACCTGGCCACACTCCACTCCCCCTCGTCCCAGTCCCCACAGATGGGAATGTCGCCCTCCCTCAGTGGGGCTCAGACGTTCTGCTTTTCTTCCTCCTTCTGTTGCCCCCCACCCCACCCCGCATAGTGTGGATGCGGAGAGGGGGGGAACAGAGCGAGACTCCCCACGTGGAAGGGATCTCCGTGGGCAGAGAGCAGTTGGAAGACGGTGGTCCCTGGTGTGTGGAGGGAATGGTGGGGCAGGAGAGGAAGGATGGGTGAGCGTGTTTGCTGAGCCAGCAGACCCCTGGCCTCCTGGGCCTACTTACCCGCCAGCCGGGGCCAGCCGCTCCAGAGCCCGCAAGAGGCTGCCCGCCTGCTTGAGGCTCTCCAGGTGCTTCTCATTGGAGGTGATCTGCAAGGAGGGAGGGAATGGTTGGCTGGCCCGTCCCGACTCCTCCCCCTAGATGGGCACCCTGAGACTGGGCATGCCCTCAACCCCACCCCACAGCACACTGCTGACCGTGGGGGCGGGGCAGACCTTGGTGACCCTTGGGGGTGAGCATGAGGGAGTTACTTGGGGCGGGGGCAGTGCCTCCTGTGGAGCCTCAGGAGGGTCTGTGTTCCGGAAGTCTGAACATTTCCTAATCAGTGACAGGAAGGTCGGGGGTAATGAAATGTCCCCGTGGCCTGAAAGAATGCACACCTTTGCCATCCCACTTCCTGCCTGTGCCAGCGCCCAGCAGCCAGCTGCGGCATCAGCTGTGCTTTCTGCCCAGATCTGCATCTTGAAAGCTGCACGTAAATCTGTTCTGAAATCACACCCAACGGGATGAGTTCAAAAGGCTGCTGTTTGAAAATGTCAGCTGTCGTTCAGCTATGTCTGAAGTCAGCACAAACTTACACTGACGGCTTCTTCAGTGCGGATTCCCACCTGCTTTGTCTCAAAACTGCCTCATCCAGGTCTGCTGAGCTCACCCACACCTACTGCTGGGCCAGCCCCACCACAGCATTGTGTATAGAGGCTCTGTTCCCAAAACATCCCCCGACGGGTTGCAAAGAAACAGTAAGACCACATTCACTCACAAGGCTAGTTAGAAGGTGCAAATAGAAAATACAGTGAGAATTACCTGATCAAAGGAAGGGACCAAAACAGCATCATGTGAAACTGACATACATGTAGGCATAAACAAAAGAATTCATTGAAAACTATGTGATTTGGCCACTTAATGGAACTGTTAACACCAACTGCTGTCCTGCATATAAAGACGAGTTCATTAGAAAGTAAATATTTTAAGTAGCATCCATCTAGTTCTGGATAAGAGAAAATACACGCTCCCCTTTCTCCCTCTCTGAATCCAGCTATTAAACCAACAGAACACGCAGCACAGCTACTTGAGCACGATGAAGAGTAAACCGCAGGCAGGTCGGCAAGGACACTGCCCCCCATCCCGCCCTACACGTGGTGAACTGACCACTCTTCCCTTCCAGGGCAGCCCAGCTGAACGCAACAAACTCGAACCCCAGAAAGGCGCAGGGTGGAGCAGAAGGGAGCTGGAGAAGCCAAGTGAGGGATGGAAGAGGAAACTCCAGAAAGCTCGGAGAACGCATGGTCCCGTTCCTTTTCCTCAGTTCTCCTTGGCCCCGGCCCCAGGCCTTCTGTGGCAGCAGATGACAGTGGCGGTGGCAGCAGAATCCAGCAACGGGAGCCCGCAGCCGACACTCCTCCGTCTGTTCTCCCAGTGTCTGGCCCACATATGGCAAGTGTGGAAGTAAACAGTTCATGGCCAGACAGAAAGTGCGAGACCCAGGGACCAAAAAGTAATGGGAAGATAATGAAACGGAAAGAGCTTGAGAAAGCAACCCCATAAAATAGTTTAAGAATTCCTAGGATCACCCTTACCTGTGTTTGCATGGAACTGATCTAAACGGTACACCCAGCCCTGGCCGGTTTGGCTCAGTGGTTAGAGCATCGGCCTGCGGTCCGGAGAGACCCGGGTTCGGTTCCCGCTAAGGGCATGTACCTCGGTTGCAGTTTGTCCCCGGCCCTGGTTGGTCGTGCGGGTGGCAGCCACTCGATGTGTCCCTTTCACATCGATGTTTCTCTCTCTCTCTCTCTCTTCCTCTCTCTCCCTCCCACTCTATCTGTGCAAAACATGTCCTCGGGTGAGGATAAAAACAAATAAAAAAAAAAAAAAGGTACACCCAAAACTCTGAGAACGGAGCTAACAAACCTCTGCCCAGACCTGTGGAGGACACACAAGATCCAAACAGCATTGCAAATGCTTTGAATCTGACTTGACATTGAAATTATAATTCCAAGCTGCAGCCTGAACCTAACCGACATAATTAATTGCTGGCTAAAAATAAAAGTATCAATATTCTTTGTACGGTATCAACAAGACACAGTATCTCTCAGAACATATTTAAAATAGGATAAAATCCAAAATGCTGAGCATACAACCACAAAAGTCTCAACTCACACGAGAAAAGAAAATGTGTAAGAAAATGACACAGATGTTGCAATTATCTCACAAAGTGTTATAAAAACAATAAAACAAGCACTTGAAATAAGTATTAAAACAGACTGGAACACTTGTGAAACAAATATTAAAATAGAATAAAACCGTATGAAAGTAGAACAAGGTATTCAAACAAAATAGAAGTAAAAATGAGAAGATACAAAGGAGAACCAAAAAATATATAATAACAACAACAACAACAAAATTAAAACCATACTGAATAGACTTGTCAGCAGAATGGAAAGAGGCAGCGACTTTGAAGACAGCTCAACAGAAATGATCCAATCTGAGCAGCAGAGGGAAAAAGGCTGAGAACACAAATGGACAGGGCCTCGGGGACCTGTAGGAAAAGCACACAAAAGGTCCCTGTCACTGGAGTTCCAGAATGAGAGAACAGCACGAATGGATGAAAAGGTATTTTAAGAATGCACAGCTAACACTATGTGTGTGATGAAAGAAACGAACCTACAGATTCAAGAAGCTGAGAAAATCTCAAGACCTCCAATGAATCCACACCCAAACACTGCATGATCAAACTTGCTGAAGACAAAGAGTGTTGAAAGCAGTCAGGGAAAAATAAAATAAAATAAGATGCATTACTTATAGGGGAACAATGATCTGAATTACTGTGGATTTCTCATCACACTGAGGTCAGAAGAAAGCAACAACATTTTTGAAGTGCTAAAAGAAAATAATTATCATGTTAAAATTCTGTATCTAGCAAAAGTATTCAGGAATCAGGGTGAAATAAAGACATTCTCATATGAAGAAAAACTAACAGAGGCAGAACTGTTCTAAAAGAATTGCTAAAGGAAGTTCTTCAAAGAGAAAGAAATAATACCAGGAGGAAACCTGGTACATTGGAAATGAAGAGAGAGTAACAGAAGTGGTAAATATCTGGGTAAATGTAACAGAATATTCTCTTTCTTTAAAATAATGCTTGATGGCAGAAAAGCAAAATATAATATTATCTGATGGGGTGCTGATGTAATATATATATAAAAAAACAACAATCCTGAAACATAAAGGGGCAGGGGCAAGGTTTCTATGTAACAAAGTGGTAAAATGATTATAAGTAGACTGTGAGAAGTAAAGTATTTTATAATCCTAATAGCAACCCTAAGAGAGATAGTAAAAAATACATTAGGTAGTAAAAATATAATAGATTCAAAATGTAATGCAAAAAAAAAAAAAAAATGTTAAATAGCTTAAAAGAAAGGAAAGAAAGAAAAAAATGGGGTGATAGATCTCAAATAAAAAGGTAGATTATATCAAATATTGCACTAAGTGTAAGCAATCTAAATGCAGAAAGTAAGAGAGATTTTTTTTGAGTGATTAAAATATTACCCAACTAGCCCTGCTAGTTTTGCTCAATGGTTGAAGCATCAGCCCACAGACTAGAGAGTCAAAGGTTCGATTCCCAGTCAAGGTCACATACCTGGGTTGCAGGTTCAATCCCCGGCCCTAGCTGGGGTCATGTGGAAGGCAACCAATCAATGTCTGCCCCCCCCCACTCTATCTAAAAAGCAACTGAGGAAAAATATCCTCAGTTGAGAGAGAGTATATATATATATATATATATATATATATATATATATATATATCTGGGGAAAGGCCTAGTGCCTATAAGTATGTGTATATATATATCCCAACTATATACGATCTACAAGCATCTTATTTTATATATAGTTAGATAGGTAAAAGGGTGAAAAAAGATATACCATGCAAATATGAATAAAAAGAAAGCTATATTAATATCAGGCAAAGTAGACTTCAGAACAAAGAAAAGTACGGACATGTAACATTTTTGATAAAAAGATTCTGTTAACAAGAACCTATAACAATAAATATGTATGTATCTAACAATGGAAATTAAAAATACACACAGGAAAAACAGACAAATCCACAACTGTAGTTAGAGACTTTATTTTTTTATTATTATTTTTTATCCTCACCCAAGGACATTTTTCCATTTTTTTATTCAGGTAGAGTGGGAGGGAGAGAGAGGAACAGAGAGAGAGAGAGAGAAACATCGATGTGAAAGGAACACATCGAGTGGCTGCCACTCGCACAACCGACCAGGGCCGGGGACAAACTGCACCCAAGGTACGCGCCCTTAGCGGGAACCGAACCTGGGTCTCTCAGGACCGCAGGCCGATGCTCTAACCGCTGAACCAAACCAGCCAGGGCTGTAGTTAGAGACTTTAAAATCACTCTCACAGTAATACAAAGGATGCGTAGACAAAAAATCAGCAAGGATACAGAATTGCTGAACAACACCATCAACGAGCTGGATCTCACTGACACTGTAGAGCACTAAACCCGTCAACAGCAGAATATACATCTTCCCCCAAGAATCCAAGAACATTCACCAACATGTATAATATTCTGGGCCATAAAACAAATCTTAATTTAAAGGAACTGAAACCATATGAATTATCTTCTCTGATAATTACCAATTAAATAGAAATCAATAATAAAGATAACAGAAATATCTCTAATACTTGAAAATTAAATAACATACTCCTAAATAATCCAAAGATCATAGAGGACATCCCAAGGAAAATTAGGAAATATTCTTAACTGAAATTAAATAACTATCCAATATATCAAAATCTGTGGGATGCAGCTAAAGCAGCGCTTAAAGGGAAATTCATGGTCCAAAATTTATATTAAAAAAGAAAGGTCTCAAATCAATAATCCAAGCTTTCATGTTAAGAAACTAGAAAAAGAAGAGCAAGACAAACCCAAAGCCAAAGAGGGAAGGAAAAAAAAGAGCAGAAATTAAGAGTAATGTTGTACAACTACATACCCCTCCCCAGCATTGTTGTCTATGTCCATTGGTTACACATACATGCATATACGTCCTTTGGTTTATATGGTGGATACTTTT